CGAAACCGCAACCGAAGCAAGAGAGAAGCAGCAACAGGCCAAAATATTGCAGCCTAGAGCCTATCTCTCGGTCTTAATTAGCAAATAGCCAACAGTGCAAGTGCCTCAGCAACAGGCCAGCCAGGCAGTGTGTGTGTGTGTGTTTTGTTGGGTGTTGGTTGGTGTCTTTCGTTTGTGTTTAATAATGCGCGCCACAATCGAGTTTGAGGAATGCCTAAAGGATTCGCCGAGATTCAGGTGCGTATCAAGGCCATGCCATGGCCATCCATCCGTCTCTTCCCTACCCCCATACTCGCGTATCTTTTGCTGAGCCTGCCTTTTTTCGTGCTGTTTCCGCTTTAGGCAGTTGATATTTTTGCATTACTGCGATGCGAGAGAGCAGAGACGAGGCGAGAGCCTCGGGCCATGTAGCGTGACTGGTTGCTATCAGCCACCCACCCCCTCATTCTGCCATTCTGTGTCTCTGTTCTCCATCCACGGCTCAAACGCTGCTTCGGGCTTAATCATCAATCGAACAAACTTTGCACTTCTCCGTCCCGTCACTGCTTTGGAATTTGTTTCAGCCAATGGAAAACTATTGCACATCCCTCCCTCTCTCTCGTGCCATCCATCCCCTGGTCCCACCAATTTCTATTGTTTCCCCACTAATTGTCGAACAGACAGACATTTGGATGATAAGATTTCACCAAAATTGACTCTGCTTTCGCTCGTAAACACAAACAAACTCCGATGAGGCGACAAATCGATGCTTTTAGAGAGCAGCAGAGAAAATGATTAGCACCAGAAGAGGCGACGCAACAGTTCGTTCAGTCTGCCCTGCAGCTCCGCTTTAATTGGAGGCGCAAATATCGCTTTAATAAAGCAGCATGGCATAAATTAAAAGTGTCGTCGTAAACACAAAACGACACAAAGAGTCTACTCGGACAACCGATGGCTTCTTGGATTAAGCACGCACAGATAATGTTTTGTTCAAAGGCAACTTTAATCGTCACAACAGCAAGAGCATCGTCAGCATCCCCAGCATCCCCATTTCCATTCCCATTCCTACCATCTACAGCATCTGCTGTGCTTGTGCTGTTGTTTACATTTTCAAGATTGTGCTAACGTTTTCAATTTGTTTTTTGTGTATGTCCAGACAATTTGTGTCCAAGGAGGAAGGCGATATTGAGCACTTGGAGCAGAGGCTGGAGAAAATCATCAAGCTGTGCAATGTGGCCGTCGACTCGGGCAAGGAGTATGTCAAGAACCAGAGGTAAATGCGCATATAAATTCCGCCGTCTCATGCATATTCATTGATATCGATTCACAACCGTTCCACCTGCCATGTCAACAGCGCCTTTGCCATGTCCTTGTGGGATCTGCAGCAGCATTTTCTCGACAACAAAAACGCCCACAATGCGCTGGGAAAGTTGATTCATTGCTTCCAGGTGGGTCCAAGCAGGTTGTTTCGGCTAAAATGGGTCCCTAAATTTAACCATTTTTTTTTGGATTCCAGGAAATGAACAAGTTCCATACGATTCTGTTGGATCAGGCCAGTCGCACGGTGCTCAAAAATCTTACTGTATTTGTTAAGGACGACATCAATCAGGTGAAGGACTACAAGGGACACTTTCTCAAGGTATCCGAGGGCTATGACAATGCATTGATAAAGAACGCTCAGGTTCGTTTCAAATCATCTTCAGATTCTTCGTGATATTATAATCTCTCTTTTTCGCAGGCCAGTAAAAATCGTCCACAGGAAGTGCAAGAGGCAGCCAATATCCTTTCAGCCTCGAAATCCTGCTTCCAGCATACCGCCTTGGATTATGTCAACTATATAACGCTGGCGCAATCCCGCAAAGTCCCATCCATACTGTCCACGGTGAGTAAAGAAGTCCCCGAAGAGTGCCAGCCTAAGCATTTCTTATCTTTCATGAATGAAAAGGGGTCTCTGCCTCTGCGCGGAGTACCAGACTTCTACATATGAGTAAATAAAGCCACGGAGCTGGGGGGGGTTTTGTTATTGGCATGACGTCACTATTGTTGTGTGATATATAGATAAGTACATATGTACTGTACTGTACTGATTGCTATTTTTGCCTGTATTGCATATCTATAACCAATGATCAGCAGTCGTTGAGTCAGTCCAGTCGTTGAGTGTACGGCATGGCACTTACAGTTGTCTATAGGGAGTGCTTGCTGCTGGATCGACGTGGACCTAGCCTTTTCTTTGTATTTGTCACGTTTTCATGCTGATCTTCTTCTGTTATTTTGCATGTTTTTTCGGGTGTTCGGGCGACAGCTGCTGGACTACTATCAGGCGTGCGTGACCTACTACCATCAGGGCTTTGACTTGTGCAACGATTTCGACGAGTTCTTCAAGAACATCAGCGAGGATTTGAATGCCCTGCGTGGCGATTATCAGCAGCTGGAGAAGGTCATGCAGAATCGACACATGAGCGTGAATCGCTATTGCGATTCGAATACGAATAGTGCCTCGAACAAAATCGAGGGATATTTGTTTAAGAAAAAATCAAAGGGCTTCAAGACCTGGTGCAGGCGTTGGTTCTATCTGAGCGACAACCAGCTGGTCTACAGGTGGGTTCATGGCTCTCCATTTCCATCATTTCAAACATCCCCCCGCATATCCCGCCAAAACCCACCCCCACCCACTCTCCCACCATTTGCTTGCTTAGTTAATCGTCTACTTTTATTTGCAAACTTTTGATTTTTGTGATGTTTTATTGTGTTGTGATGTGATGGTGATGTGTTGTGCTGAACGCTGAAGTGATTTGGATTCGCATTGCAGAAAACGCAGCAACGAGGACTCGTTTTCGGTCATGGAGGAGGACCTGCGCATCTGCAGTGTGCGGCCGGTGAACGAGGGCGATCGCCGCTTCTGTTTCGAAGTGATTTCGCCAACCAAGTGAGTACCCTCGAATCGCTGCCATCCACAGATAACAAGGTTCTAATCATTTTCCACTCCCATTTAGATCTCACATTCTCCAGGCTGACTCAGCCGACATGCTTTCCCTGTGGATTTCCGCACTGCAGCACAGTATTGGGGCAGCTATTCAGCACGACGCCACGCACCACTCGCGGCCCCAGTCAACGAACATGCCCAATGCACTGCCTGCTAAGCGGAGAATGTAAGTGGAAAAACGTAATAAATAGAAATGTGTTCATGATTTTCTATTGCCATTACTCATGCAGCCACTGGGAGGAGTTCTTAAAGATACCCGGCAATGCACAATGCTGCGACTGCCGCAGCCAGGATCCGCGCTGGGCATCCATCAATCTGGGCATTACGCTGTGCATCGAGTGCTCTGGAGTCCATCGCAGCCTCGGCGTCCACTACAGCAAGGTTCGCTCTCTGACTTTGGATGCCTGGGAGACGGAGAATGTCAAGGTCATGATGGAGCTCGGCAACGAGGTGGTTAATCGTATATATGAGGCACGGGTGGGCGATGACTGTGAGCTCAAGCGTCCCACGGAGCAGTGTGAGATTGGAGTGCGCGAGGCTTGGATTAAGGCAAAGTATGTGGAGCGACGGTTTGTGTGCGCCATGCCCAAGCCGCAGGAGCTGCTGGCCAGTGAAACAGCCGAGGTGCTGAGCATAGACAGCGGCGGTGTGGCGGACGAAGGTGGCAGCGGTGGTGGCAGCAACATTCTTGGCAAACATGCCACGCTACCGTTGGGCGGAACACGAAAGTGGGCTGTCAAAAAGCTGCGCAGGAGGCGACAGCAGCGTTCTCTGCCAAAAACATTGAGCGACGATCCAAGCATCTATAATACGGCCAAAACTGGCGACGAGCTGGACGAAGATGATGATGACGAGTCCATCAACATTCCATCAATGTCGTTGAGCATCTCGCGCGACGATTTGTTAGTCATTGGCGATGACCTAGGCCTGGACAGCTATGAGACGCCCTGCATCTTGGGCAGCGATCAGGAGAGCACCGAAGGCGAGTCCGATCCGGAGCTACCGGAAGAGGTGCCCTTTACACAGCTGGACGCGAATCAGTTGCTTTACAAGGCATCGGTTGTGCACAATCTTCCGGTTATGTGCATGGCCTTTGCCCTGGGCGCCGACAAGACATGGAAGAATGCCCAGGATCGTCAGCGCTCATTTCTGCATCAGGCCGTGATCTCCGGCTCTGTGATGGCCTGCGAATATCTGCTGCTGAATGGAGCAGCCATCGATGCGGTCGATGAGCTCGGCTACAGTGCCCTTCACATATCCACGGCCAAGGGGCACATCGCCCAAGTGTATCTGCTATTGAAAAACAAGGCCGCCTACGACCTGGCATCCAGTGATGGCAAAAAGGCCCTGGACATAGCCGTGGATCAGAAAAATGCCGACATTGTAACACTGTAAGTAGAACACTTTTCCCTAATCGAACCGAATCGTTGATGCAATTGCAAATTTCAATATTTTACAGTCTTCGTCTGACGCGACTCAATGATGAGATTGGCCTGAACGACGAATACAATGGCGAGGATGAGACGTACAAGGATGTGATGAAGGACTTCTCCAACTTTGCCGCCAGTCAGCCGCGCATGTTGCGTCAGCGCAATGACTCAAACACACTAGAATCCCAGCGCAGCTCTCTGACCAACTCAGACTAGCAGAGGGCTAGTACGGGTGCTAGTACGCCGACTCCGACGCGTCTAAAAAGTTGAAAACTTACTCGTTATTATGGATATTGTATGGATTAGTTAGTTAGGGCGCATATTGGATTGTTATTGGCTTTATAGCGCGCATTACGCATACCAACTGTTAAACGGTTTCGATGTCTTCTCAATTGTCACCCACTCAATGGACGTCGGATTTCTGTAGGCAATCTCACCTTGAAAGGCGCTTCCCATTAAACGTACGATTACACACTTTCAATGCATTTTGCAAAACAAACATACATACATATATCTGATATATACTTACATTTGATTTATGTTCCGAGGCATTTCAAGTCCGTGTTTAGCTTAAGCTTAAAGTTATACGTATTTATAGAGTAAATGATCATTTAAAATACATGTATTTGCCTATAACGTATTGTACATCATCTTATGTGGTATTTATTACACGATATTTTGTATTGTAACAATGCTACATATACTATATGTATGCGTGTATGTATGAAGAATGTACTATGTCTAGCTAGAAATTATGTATTGTATTGTATGTCATGTATCTCGGTGTTTAAGAGCTGTTTCAATGTTTGCATGTTTTTTAAATGTTTTCAAAGCAATCCGATACATATGTTGATGATGTTTGGTGCCAACTGTTGTGAGCATCCCCCCCTAGTTTCAGAATAAAATTGTAACTTATTCGAATTAACTTAATTACAAATGATTCTTGCTGTTTCTCCTCTGCCACCGCAGAGAGTAAGTACAAGTATGAAATTCTTTTTTATTGCAGCTAAAACTCGATCAAACTCTTTAGTCACGTGGAATATACAATTAAAACTAAACCGATTGAAACTCAAGCTCGCCCAACTCCGGCTCTGGTTCGGAAGTATAGTCGACCCTTTTGTCTTGGATCTTGTGGACAGTCTGGAGATGTCGCTGAACGGCGCTGCGATCGTTGAACTGTCGCCCACATTCCGTGCAGGAGAACATGACACCAGCATGGGCAACGAGATGGCGACTGAGGCCCGACACATGATTGAAGCTGCGCTCGCAAAGATGGCACTTGTGCGTACGTGAGTTTCCCATGTGTACCCGAGCAATGTGCTGTTGCAGGTTGGACTTTTGGGCAAAGCAGCTTTGGCACTGCGAACACTTGTGACGCTTTGCCCCCGTGTGGATGTCCATGTGGCGTTTGAGGACTTCGCGCTGCGAAAAGGACAGGTCACACTCATCACATTTGTAGGGCTTGAGGCCCGTGTGGATAATCATATGGCGCTTGAGGGAGCTGGCGCAGGACAGTTGCAGCTCACAAATGGGGCACTGCAGCGAGCCACCCTTGCCGTTCTTCAGGCTCTTTATGTGGGAATTGTGGTGGCGCGTCAGCAGCTTCTCTGTGGGGAAGGCCGTTGGGCACATTTGACACTGAAACGTCTTCACCGTATCGGTGACGCGACAGGCCTTTGGTTGGGCCTCACGAGGCGACTGCTTCGACACAAACTCGCTCGATCGCTTCCGTTTGCCTGCCTGCCGGCTCTCACGTTTGAGTGGTTTCTCCTTGGGCTAAAAGGATACGCAGAATGTTATAGGGAATATCCATTAGTCTACAATCGACTTACCACAATGATGAGGTTCTGATCAAAGTTGTAGACCTGCGGCTCCTCAGATATGTCGCCGTCCAAGTTAAATACCACAACATCGCCCATTTCCTCCGATTTCTCGCCGCTGAACTGAATCTCCCCGTCGTCCTTAACTGCACAGGGTGAAGCAGGGTTAATTAATCTATATGATGTCGCTTTCGCATAGAATCTCATACTAACTGTTGTAAGAAGTGATGTCGCTGTCCTGTTGAAACTCTGGCGGAGGGCTGTCGTCCTTGGGCTCCACCGTACTGGTCGAATTGATAATGTAAATTTCTCCATCCTCAGTCCTCACCACATCTCCTGCACCGACATCGACCATCTTAATATCACTAAACTCGTGAGTAGTGGCATCTGTTGGGCCGTCTTCGTCTATGTCGATTGGGTCCAAATCAACTTCATCAGCGGCTGAAGTCTCTGGATCGCCGCCAAGCACGAATTCGACATCTTCCGCTTTCAAGCATTGTACGGGCGGGTGCTTTGAGGCAGAGCTGAGACGCCGTTTAATTGGATGCTTGAGAAGTGAGGCGGCGGGCAGCGAATCTGGCACGGTCTCTTGGGATACGACTTTTGTTTCCGGATCCATGGGTTCCCACGAACCGGCTTTCTTTTCGGTTAGGAATACTTCTAGTTCGCCCACGAGTTTGGCCAGTTGCTCCCTACGAATCTCCTCGTTCACTTCGTTGCGAAGTTCCTCCCGCACATCCTTGCGCACTTCGTCCGCCAGCTCTTGGCGCAGCACCAAACGCGAGGCTTCCAAACGCTTGGCGTACTCCCGCTCCTGATCCTTCTTGAACTGTTCACGCCATTTCTCGACCACTGCCTCGCGCACCTTGTCTTGCTGGGCTATGAATGCCAGCGACTCCTCAAACTCCAGCTCATCCTCGTCGTAGTCATCCGACTCCTTTGAAAAGACGCGGCTTTTCTTGCCCAAGCCTAGAAGGCGTATGTGTTTGCGCAGTTTCTTCTCTGTCGCCTGGCTGCGTTGGCGGAAGAGGAACGACTTCTCCAGTTGGTAGCGGCACTCCTCGCATATCTTTTTGGGGAATGGATCTGATGGCTTTGTGTCCAGTGAGACACAGGCCATCAGACGCATCGGAATGGACAGCTCCGTGGCATCCTCGCCAAAAATGGTGTAGGCATCTAGATGCTCCTTCAGACACAGGCGGCACAAGGTCTTCAAGTCGGGGTATCCCGCCTCTGGCATCGCAATTAATTTTCGGGATTCCTAAAATTAACAACAATTTGAGACGCCAGCAGTGTGATAATAGTGTGACCGAAGAAAACAGGACTTAGCCCACTTAGCCCCCCTCTATTTAAAACATTTTAAACACCTTGAGTTAAATCGCAGAGAATAACACTGTTTGTAAGTGTTCTTTGCAGCTCCATCCTTTCTATTTACCTACAAACAAAATTGTATTACTATATGTTTTACCTGAAATGCGCTAAAATGTTTCAAGCTTAATCATTTTATTTTTTTTAATTAAATACTCAAGGGTCGACAATGGGTTAATCGTTCTCTGTGCATGATCGGAAATCATATTCCTCAATTTTGATATTCTGTTCAATATTTATAGCTAACTAGCCCTCTCAGCACTAAAATTTTAATTGTATCCAATTTGTCAATTAAATTTGGATAAGACTGGCTGGATTTCAGAACTCATTTTTAATTGAATTGCTTACAAAATATGGTCCAAACTAAAACGGACATAGCATAAATGGTAAGTGTGTACCAGAATTTGACGTCATTGTTGCTGGTCAACCAAGTTTCTGCTATGCGTAATGACTTTTTTATACCTTATTTCCTTTAATTAATGTTTCAAACATTTATATTGATTTTCGGATTAGTAAAATACTAATACTACTGGAGCCCTCATCACTGTTCATATACTTTTCTATGATAAATTGTTTAATTTCCTAAAAGATTCCCTTATTTTAGGCACTAATTTATATATAATTAATGGTCCTTTGATGTCAATGATGATGTTTTACATGGTAACTACACGCTAACTACACATTTCGAGACACTACACTGACGAAATTAATCACATTCCCCGATTTTGATATTCGATTTACTAGCTAGCTAGGACCCTCAGCACTACACACATAGTTTTACCCCATTGATTAATAAATTTCCCACGGGATTAGTTAATTTGAAAGACTTTTTTTAATTGGATTGTTTTCATAATAATGTTCAAGCAAAAAAGGTCGAAACATAAAACGTACGTAGACTCATATCTGCTACACGCAACCAGAGCAGTGCTGCAAAACGGATTTGCCCAAGAGCGCGTGAATTTCAAATAAATAATGTAATACAATTCTCTTAGATATCTTTTATATTATTCTATAACTATATACGCGTGCCAAAAAAATTGATTTTATATATAGCTTATGACAATCATAGCAAGCTTGACAAGTATAACTATTAAAAAACACATACACATATGGATACATATAGTTATGGTCATTATTGCGGCCGATGCTACGACACGGTCGAATGACGCCTATCACCGCATCTAAGACGACAGCGCACACAGTTAACAGGGTCCACGGCTGCCGAGTCGTACCGTTGGCTGTGCTTGCGACACAATATGCCACGCTCCTTCCGGCGTGGGCTATCTTTTATCTTTTTCGGAGTTTCGAAACGAACTTTCTTGAGAGATGGAGGCTTCGGCTTGGTTACTTCAGTGGTAGGTCCAAAAGACAGGAACGTATCGGTGCTGAAATCTTCTCGCAAGTGATTCAATTCTGTACCCGTCATGGGTATTTCCACCATGGTCACTGGCACAATTTGTCTAGGAGCTGTGGCTGGTGCTGTGTTCGAAGGAGTTTTCGGATCTGGATCATCATCTGAAATTTATGAAATAGTTTTAGCCAACGACAAGATTTTCCACATCAAGAGAACTGACCTAGAAGATCCACAATGCTCACATTGGCATCTTCCATGGCCTCCTCAACGCGCTTGATAGCCACTGCCCCGGGCTGAGCTTCAGCTTCGTAAAAGTCGGATCCTTCAACCGCAATCCCCTGACACACGGACGTAACGCTTACCGGCTGCAGTGTCTCCGAGTCGGAGCAGTAGCTCTCGGAGTCATTGACATTGCCGTAGAGTGTCTCGTTGCGTTTGCGTAGGAAGAATCGCTGCATCTCATAGAACACATCATCCAGGACGCTGATGCGGCACTTCTTCTTCGCGTCTTCCACAACTAGCTCCTCCACTTCCTGGCGCACCTCTTGTTCGATCTCCGTGCGCACTTCCAGCTTGCATACGCTGAGCAGCTGCTTTTTGTAGGAATCGATTTCGGTCCGGATAAGTTCAGCCGTCTGCATGCGCCACTGAGCGCTGCTCTCGGAGCAGGCTGTGGCTGTGCAGCCCGCCACATCGTGCAACTCAAACTCCTCCTCGGCGGCCACCAAATTGTCTACCAGCGTGCCATTCGGGTCCTGGCTCTGCAGCACCTTGTTACGCCGCAGCCTTCTATCCGCGGCGTGGCAGCGTTTGCGAAAGGCATAGTACTCCTCGACTCGCAAACGGCATACCGCACAGATGCGCTGAGGCAGATCATCGTTAGGCTGCACCTCGACAGCAGTGCAAGCCATTATCCTTACGGCGGTTTGCCCATTGAAAATCGAAAAGGTGGCGTCGCTTGCTAGACACAGACGGCACACATTAAACATTGTTTGACAGCACGGGACGAAACAAAAAACAAGCACAAATACAAGACTTTTGAGTTTTATATCTCTGTCTTTGTATTTTTTACAAAACAATTAACACTTTAAAATGTAAAAAATTTGAATCAAAAAATGTTTGTTGTTTTGAGGCAGTGTGACCGCGGATTTATCAATAAAATATACCGCCTGAAACCCTCTGAAATATACTGAAATATAGCGTAAATATACCAAGGAGAAAAACGAACTTAGCCCCCATTTATTTAAACAGGTTAACATCTTGAGTTAAACCACTAACCGTAGTATATAGATGTGCCAGTTCATACAACGAACAAAACGAAAAACCGAAATTCATTTCAAGCGGCAAAAAATTGTAGAGCCCACACACACGATCTATCGCACAATTCTAAAACCAGGTGTGGAGTGACATTTGCCGGTGTTTTTCGTTGGCAGGTGTGCCTTGCAATACAAGTGAATCCCCGGCCTAGTTCGAAATCTGTCAAAATGAATAGAACGAGCTGGTTCACTAACAGCCACGTCAGCATTATCAATTTTCTTAGTCTGGCGAGCGGTGCCCTGTTCTTTGATTTCGCAAATGCAAGCCGGAACCAGTAGCAAATAGCAGGAGCATCATGGCAGAAAACAAAGATAGTGGAGAGTCAGAAATAAAGGTAAATAAATAAATAAATTGCAAGACATTGGTGCTTGTACTTTTTGCTGAATTGTAAATGGAATGCATTTTCTTATGTTGCAGCCACGCAGCTATCAGCTGCGTCTCGTGGATCATATCACCAAGAATAATGGTATAATCTATTTGCCGACCGGATCTGGCAAGACATACGTGGCCATCCTGGCCCTCAAGCGATTCTCCAAAGATATGGACAAGTAAGTCGTCTAGCATGCTGCACATGCACATACAGAGGTATTGGAATGAAAACTCGTTTTTGTTTGCATTCTACAGATCAATCGAGGAGGGCGGCAAGCGTGCTATTTTTATGTGCAACACAGTCGAGCTGTCCCGTCAGCAGGCTGTGGCCGTGAAGAAGTTTACAAATCTCAAAGTGGGGTTCTTTGTGGGGGAGCAGGGCGTCGACGACTGGTCGAGAACAAAATGGAGCCACGAAATAAGCGAAAGCCAAGTGAGTGTCAGCGCTACGTGCCTCATCAAGCGATCGACACTTGTTCCGTGCACATGTAATATGATCAGGCATATCATGTGCATGCCCTGAAGCTATTTCTGATAGTCGTATGTATGGAACGGAGGCTCTAGCATTTGTCCAAGTGCTTTCCAAGTGTTGGTGCATTGGCCATTATTTTGTTTCTAATTGCATTTTCATCTTTCTCTTGCAATGGCAAATAGGTTCTGGTGGGCACAGCCCAAGTCATGTTGAATATGTTCACCCAGAAGTTCATGGAGCTGAGCTCTGTTAGTGTTGTGATTATAGACGAATGCCACCATGGCACTGGCCACCATCCCTACCATGAGTTCATGCACCTGTTCCTGCTCGCTGGTCGAGGCACGCCACTGCCGCGCGTTGTTGGGCTGACGGGTGTCCTCATTAAAGGGAACGAATTTAAGCAGGTCGCTCACAAGCTCAAAGAACTGGAGACGACCTACAGGAGCAACATCATCACCGTGTCCGACACGGAGGAATTGAAGAACGTGATGCTGTGAGATCCTTGTAGCTTAGTCCTTCCCTTCCCATGGGAGCAGTTAACTCTACAGCAGTTCTGTTTCATTCTTTTGCAGTTACTCCACCAAACCAAAGGAGAGTTTACTCACTTATCCAGTGCAAGGGGGAACCCTGCAGGTCGTCCACACCATACATGCCCACATTAGGTACTTTTACGAACTGCTAGACAACTTAGATATTGGCAAACAGCCGACGCGCCTATCCAAGGGATTGCTAGCCCAGCGCGATCCCCACAAGAAGAGCTATGTGAAGATTCTGCTGAACGACTTCGAGTACCAGCTGAGGGAGTACGGCATATACGCGGCAGCCATGGCCATTGTGTCGGTTGCTCTGGAGCTCGAAATCAAGCTGCATCAGTCGGAGACCATTATCCTGGGCGATATGTACAAGTCGGCTATCAACCTGTGCAACTTCATCCGTCACATACTAAATGGGAAGCTGCGCGATATGCTCGACGATAATACGCAACACGATGACGCTGTCCACACAGAGTTAACCATCTTGACCTATTCGACGCCCAGGGTGCAGAGATTTTTGCATTACGTGAAGCAAACGTTCTCCGGTAAGGAGGCCAAGGATATTTGCTGCTTGGTCTTTGTCGAGCGCCGATATACGTGCAAGTGCATATACCAAGTGCTGAAGAAGTATATTGCGGTCACGCCGGAGCTGCGCAATGTTCTCAAACCGCAGTTTATGGTGGGCCGCAACTCAGTTTCGGCGGATTGTGAAAGCCTCCTGGAGCGCAAGTGGCAAAAGTCGGTAGGTTATTCTTCCATCGTCCACAGCAGAGAAAAGTCAAGTAAATTATCATCGCCTGCTTGAATGCCCCATTCGAAGGCCATTCACCAATTTAGGGATGGCGAAGCCAACCTGATGGTCTGCTCCAGCGTTCTGGAGGAAGGCATCGACGTGAAGGCCTGCAATTATGTGCTGATCCTGGATCCGCTGCGGACATTCAACATGTATGTGCAGACGAAGGGGCGGGCACGCTCCAAGGAGGCCCAGTTTGTGGTTTTCTCCTCAGAATTGGACAGACTAAAAACCAGCCAGCAGATCCATCAATACCGCCAAGCGCATGCCGACATCGGAGAGTATCTGAAGGATCGCGTACTGGAGCGGGCCGAGCCTCTAATGCACGAGATAGCCGATCACTTCCACGAATTGATTCCACCCTTCAAGAACGAACTTGGTGCAGTGCTGCTGCCCAGCTGTGCCCTGATGCTGCTACACCGCTACTGCCAGAGCATACCCACGGATGCATTCGGCCTGGTGGAGCCATGGATCTCACTGATAAGTGAGCAGGAACGCCAGCAAGTTTTTGGCGCTCAGGCTGCATTTAAGGAGGTTGTCTCCATCGATCTTCCACTCAGCTCGTCCATGCGTGAAACAATTTATGTAAGCCCAAGCCCCAGCCGAAGCCCAAGCGCCGTCAGTCAGTCAGTTATCTTTCCATTTGAATCTTTCCAGGGCGATCCCATGCTCTCCGTTAAGGCGGCCAAAATATCGGCAGCATTTAAGACCTGCATAAAACTCTACACCACGGGGGAGCTGAACGAGCGCTTCCTACCCGTGTCCCTCAAGGACCGGGTGGCGGCCATAGCCGACTTTCACTTTGATCACTGGAAGAAATACAGCGACAATGGTGAGTCTAGCTCTAATCCTGACTCATCCTTAAGCTTCTGTGCTTGCAGTGGTCGATACGTTGAGCAAGAAGAAAGACACTCCGGAGAGATTTGCTACCTATAAGACCGCTTGTCCGACAGAGTTCTACGATTGCAGGCCGCGGGTGGGCGAAGTCTGCTATGCCTATGAGATCATTTTGGAGCCACAGTTCGAGCGCAACGACTACACAGAGCACATCTACGATAATCTGCTGTCGGGCAGGAACTATGCGCTGCTGCTGAGGAAGCAGCTGCCGCCTCTGTCCAAGATGCCGCTGTTCTGCAACCAGGGCCCGTTGCATGTGCGGGTGTGCGAGCAGCCGCGAGTGCTGGTTCTTGCGAGCGCGGAGCAACTGCAGCAGCTGCATCAGTTCCATGGCATGCTGTTCCGCGACGTGTTGAAGATCTGGCGTCCCTGCTTTGCACTGGATCGTCGCAGCAAGGAGAACTCGTACCTCGTGGTGCCTCTGGCCGTGGGATCAGAGTATCAGAACGTGGTGGACTGGCCGCTGGTGCGTCAGTTCCAGCGTCTGCCCATCGCGGAGTCTGTCAGCCTGCAGCAGCGCCAGGAGCAGCCAGCGCCGCGTGTAGAAGACTTGGAGGGTAAAATTGTGACGCAGTGGTATGCAAACCTCACAACCAAGCGAATGCTCGTGCACAAGGTGCGCAGAGACCTGACACCGCGCAGCATAATGGACAGCAAACAGGGGGAAATGAGCTATGGCGAGTTCACAATGTCCAAGTATGGCAATCACATCGGCGGGGTGGTTCACATGGACCAGGCCCTGATCGAGGTGCGGGAGCTTACGGAGCAGCTGAACTTCTATGTCCAGCAGCGGGGCAAGACGTCGGCCCAGAGCAAGGCCAGGGCCAAGATTTTTCTCATACCGGAGCTCTGCTTCAATTTTGATTTCCCCGGCGACCTCTGGATCAAGGCCCTGTTTCTGCCCAGCATCCTGAACCGTCTCCACTTCTTGCTGCACGCTGAGGCCTTGCGTCAGCGCTTCAATGCCTTCCTGGGGCTGCAGCATCTGCTTCAGAATGGAGTCGATTACAGGCCAAAGCTCTTGGAGATCGACTGGTCGCTGCGCCGCAATGTGGATCCCCACGGCAATGCCGTACCCATCGAAGATGTCCAAGAGCCGCGCTCCATTCTGCTGCCCCTGCCCACCAAATCAATTGAGATGGACGTGAACAACCTGCTTATCAGGGACGTACGAGCGCCTTGGCAGCAATACGTCGAACCCGTAGACCCATCTCGGAACATCATGTCCGTCTACAACGTTGAGTTCAACTATTACAACCATTTTATCTCCGGGCAAGTGGCGTCTATCGACAAAATGGAGCATGACGACAAGGAGTACTGGCTGGAGACGCAGTTCAAGATGCCCAAGAGGAGCATCTATGAGAACAGGAGGCCGACAAGTGGCCCAGCACTGGCGCCCACTCAGAAGTCGGTGAATGTGCTGCCGATACTGCTGAAGAGCGTCTCCGAGAAGCACATCTCTCCGGCCCACCAGGGCGAGTTCCTGGCGGCCATCACCACAGCGGGAAGCGCAGATGTGTATGACATGGAGCGACTGGAGCTGTTGGGCGACTCGTTCCTCAAGATGAGTGCCAGCCTTTACCTGGCCAGCAGGTATCCCGACTGGAACGAGGGCACGCTCACGCAGGTCAAGTCGCGGCTGGTGTCCAACAAGAATCTGATGTACTGCCTCAGGGAGACGGATATTCCCAGCCGTATTAGCTGCAGCCTGTTCGATCCCAGAATTTCGTGGCTTCCGCCCAGCATTGGCCTGCCCGAAGATGTCTTGGCCGTGTGGACGGAGCAGCCTAGCCTTGCCAAGCTGATTGGTCCCCACAATCTCTTCGATCTGAAGCTCAGCGAGGAGGAGATTCTGGCAGGTCGTTGCAGCGAGGCCACCTATAGTCGCTTTGTTCAGAGCTGCCAGGGCAATAAGCAGGGCCATCATGCCAACTCAGACTTCTCGCCCGACGTGAACTACTGCTTTGGCGAGGCCACAATTCAGAACAAGGTGGTGGCCGACACCCTGGAGGCCCTGCTGGGGGTCATTGTGAGGAACTATGGACTGCAGCATGGCTTCCGCATGCTCGAATACTTTGGCATTTGCAGACCGGACCTTGGTAAGCCACTGACACAGCTGCTCGATCTTCAGTTGAGGAGCACCAAGATGCGAGCAAACGCTAGCCCTGCCGACATTGATGGCTTCCTGATCAACCACTCCTATCTGGAGCAGAATATTGGCTACACATTTCGGGATCGCGGCTACCTCTTGCAGGCCCTGACGCATCCGTCGTTTCCCACCAACCGCCTGACCGGCTGCTACCAGGAGCTGGAGTTCATTGGCGACGCCATACTCGACTTTCTCATCTCTGCATACATTTTCGAAAATAACACAAAGCTGCGTCCGGGCCAGCTCACGGATCTGCGCTCGGCCTTGGTCAATAACACGACACTGGGCTGCATCTGCGTGCGGCACAAGCTGCACCTGTTCATTCTGGCCGAAAATGCGCTCCTTTCGGAGACCATCGGCAAGTTTGTGAATTTCCAGGAGAGCCAGGGCCACAGAGTCACGAACCATGTACGCTTTCTGCTCGAGGAGCGAGACGTGCAGCCTATTGCTCTGGACATGGACGATGAAGTGGAGATGGATATGGCGATGGAAGATGGATCGGGAGATGGCCCACGCATCGGTGCCTTCAACTTGGCGCAGAACGTAGATGTGCCCAAGGCTTTGGGCGATGTCCTGGAGGCCCTTATAGCGGCCGTCTACTTGGATTGCCGGGATCTGCAGACAACCTGGCAGATGATCTACAACATGTTCGAGCCCGAGCTGATGGAGTTCTCCCGCAATATACCCATCAGCCCGATCCGACAGCTAGAGGAACACAAGCTGGCCAACCCCGTTTACGGTCCGCCCCTGGTTGACAAGGACGTTGTGATGATGTACTGCCAGTTCACGTGCATGGAGAAGACCATTCGTGTCACTGGTGTCGGCAGCAACAAGAACCAAGCCAAGTTAGCCGCTGCCAAGAGCGCTCTTCAGAAATTGGCTAAATATGATCCATAGCCCATAGACCGTGATCCACAGAAAGGACAAGTCTGACACCCATTCTACATACATACAGTATGCATTAATTTCACCTGTGAATGTTCATGCTTTGACTTTTATTGGTCACTGTATTTTTGCAAGTAAGACTTTAATGAACAAAAAAGGGCATTTGACACCATTACTCGCTTAAATTTTAAAGCCAATCAATTTTGTATTTATATTTTAAAAAATTTTTTTTTATTTGTTTTTTAATTTTATATATCTCTTCTGGTAAGTACTCTAAGTACTTAATCACGAACAATACAGTATAAAAAGGACTTCTGAAATCTAGCCAATCTTGTAGATGATGTATCTTTTGGATAAAATTATTTGTTTAGGGCTGAAACTGAATATAAAAAAAAATCATGGAACACGATTTCAATCAATAAAATAGAACGTTATCCCATTGTCGACCTAAGGGGTATTTAATATTTCCACGAAATTTATGTAACTTTAACATATTTTACGCATTACAGGTGAAAGATGTCGGTGGTCATTTTTGTTTTGTAATAGCCTTTTTACACTTGGCGCGTATGCTATCGATATCGGAAAAGACGCAATGAAGCAGAAAATGCGTTTACATTGGCAGACGCGCGTCTTGAATTTTGATTTGGGTGCTTGATGACAAGGAAACAAATTTTGAGAAATCAACAGAATTATGCAAGACGACAAGAAAATGGACGAAAGAGAATTGATTCTCATATTTATTTATTATTTTCAGACATTTCTCTGTAGAGTTTGTGGGAGTTCTTCTTAAAATTATGAAAACCATCGAAGTTCGTCTCCAGCAGTGTCATAATGGCATCAGGGGGTCACAAAAATGTCGTATTATAATAATACAATCAGTTTCAAGTATTTTATTTCATGATTTTATGTATATTTTCACCTTTTTGCACAACCATTAATTTTTAGCGCCAAAATTTGATTTTTTAACTAAAAGTTTTTGTTGTTCTTAGTGGTGATAGTTGCGCTGATAGGCAGAGAAGTGCAAAAATGTGCAGTTAAGCGCAAAAGCAATCGAATATATCGAATTAGGCGCACATGAATCAGAGACAGACGCAACTTTTTGCCACCATGCTTAACCTATGTAAAAAAACCTGCGTCTTCACCAAGACGCAAAGAAGCATGACGCAGTCCCAATGTAAACAGCCTATAAGTAAAGAGCAGGATGGAGCTACAGGGAGCCTTTGCAAACAGTAATTTTTTCCACAGTTTATCAAAGGGTGCTCAACTTTTTAAATAGAGGGGTGTTAAGTGGGTTAAGTCTATGGAATGGTATTTAAAAGGTATTTTTTGAAACTGAATTGGTATTTAATGGTATTTTTATCACGGTCACGTAGGCGGTCACACTATCTCCAGTGATTAGAGCTGTCAAACGATTGATTGTTGAGCCATCGATAGCTTTGAATGTTTTGAAAAAAACAATCGATACTATCATGATAGTATCGGGCCAAAAAAATTATTAATTATTAATTTTTTTTTTTTTGTTATGTACTAGTTGCTGGTTCTCGGTTTCTGAGGTCACTCGACAAAACAAATCAAGTTATTTTTCCAAATATTAAGACACATTTCAAATTGACCGCCAAACTCAATTTAGCGCACCAAAAATACTGACATTTTTCGCTCTCAATTCGTGGAGAGTTTGCAAAACTCGCTCTCAATTCGTGGAGAGTTTTCAAAATTTGCTCTCAATTCGTCTCTCTTATCAGTGGAGAATAGAGTGTTTTTGTGGAGACTTTCCACTCATTTTCGTGGTGTGGCAGCATGTTGCTGAAATTTTTCCCATACAAAATCAAATGTATCTTACGGGAACGCGTATGGAATAAAGATTCATTGTTGCGTCAGCAATGTTGTGAAACTTTAGCACGGAATGAGCAACAAGTCTGAATACCTTAGGAAAATAGATATTATGGACTTGAGATATTGTTTGAATTTTCAGGCTCCAATTAATGCCGAAACTAGTCTGTCTCTTTTTTAAAGACATCAACGAAATTTTGTAGCTCACGGGTACCAATAATAGGTATCAGAACCGGAATAAATGTATATATATAAAACAAAACTTATGCATTAATATGTAAAAAACATGTCAATCTAGGATAAAAATAAATAATGTTTCAATGGAGCTTGGAACAAAGCATTTAACATCAATTAAAAGAAATAAGGTATACAAAAGTACATACGCATAGAAGAAACTTGGTTGACCAGCAACACGGACGTCACAATTAGTCAAAATTTACGCTTTATACTTTGGCCGCTTTTGTTTGAACCTTATTATGTAAACAATCCAATGAGAAAGAGTTCTAAAAACTAACCAATCCTGAACAAAATTTATGTATCTATCGGATAAAATTATTTGTTTACGGCTGAGAGGGCCAACTATCTAGTAATATTAAACTGAATATCAAAATTGACGATTTTCATATCACAAAATATCACGGTATGGCAGCCCGCAGCAACTACGAATTGCATGAGTCTGGCAACGCCACAAAACGACGACAAATTCGTTTTATGCTGTTTTTGTTTGAACCTTAATATGTAAATAATCCAATAAAAAGGACTTCTGAAAACTTGACAATCTCTTAAGAAATATATGTATCTATCGGATAAAATTATTTGTTTAGGGCTGAGAGAACCAGATAGCTGGTAATATTAAACGGAATATCAATATCGAGGAATATCAATGTCGAATGTTTTGAAAAAACCATCGATACTATCGTGATAGTATCGGGCAGAAATAATTATTAAAAAACCATTGAAACCTTTTAGGAACTTGTCCATTGTAAAAATCAGAAGCCACCTGTCGATTTTTTTACAAATTTGTCTTCGTATTTTATAGCAGCCAATCAAAACATATCAAAAGCGCAACGACTGTAGCTCGATACTATCATGATAGTCTCAAAACCGTCGATAGTAGAGGCCATCAGTAAAATATCGATACTATCGATAGTGCCCTCGATGGTTTGACACCACTACCAGTGATTTAGCATTTCTCGGCATAAAGAAAAATTATTCTAAAAAAAGTGCAAATTTTTGGTTAGTACGCAAGAAAAGAACTTAATTTACATTACTTTTAGAGAAATTTGGTGCCTAAATTTGATATATGTCAATTACATTTTTATAGAACAGATATTTAGCTGGAAAAAAAGGAAGCACAAAAATGAGTCTTACATCCGCCGCGGGGATAATATCCCTACTCGATGAACCGATGCCAGATCTTAAGGTATTTGCGCTGAAGAAGCTGGACAACATTGTGGACGAGTTTTGGCCGGAAATATCCGAGTCCATAGAGAAGATTGAGATGCTCCATGAGGACAGAGGATTCCCGGAAAACAAATTGGCTGGCATGGTTGCCTCCAAGGTATTCTATCACTTGGGATCATTCGAGGATGCCCTCACTTATGCGCTGGGCGCTGGCGATCTTTTCGATGTGAATGCGCGGAACGAATACACGGAGACAATCATTGCCAAGTGCATTGATTTCTACATTGCCCAACGCGTACAGTTCATTGAAAACCCCAAGGAGGCCACCGCTGTAGATGAGCGCCTCGAAGGCATTGTTAATCGCATGATCCAGCGCTGCCTGGACGACAACCAGTTCAGGCAGGCTCTGGGTATTGCGCTGGAGACCCGCCGCATGGACATCTTCACGGTGGCCATCATGAAGTCGGACGATGTACGCGGCATGCTGGCCTATGCCTACAATGTAACAATGTCGCTGATACAGAATCGCGGCTTCCGCAACGAAGTACTGCGCTGTTTGGTCGGCCTTTACAAGGACCTGGGCGTGCCCGACTATGTAAACATGTGCCAGTGCTTAATATTCCTCGAGGATCCGCTGGCCGTGGCAGAGATGCTAGACACTCTGACACGTTCCGCTGTGGAGACAAACAATCTGATGGCCTATCAGATTGCCTTCGATCTGTACGAGTCGGCCACCCAAGAGTTTCTGGGCAACGTACTGCAGGCTCTCAAGGATACAGCACCGATTCCCACAGCCCTGCCCAGCACGTTCAAGCCGCAGGGGACCAGCTCTGGCGATGCAGCGGCCAAGTCTGACGAAGATAAAGCCAAACCGGACGAAGATATTACGGAAGAAAAAGAAGGTACGTCTTAGACTGATTACTAACATTTCGGTTGAATAAATTCAATGGTTTTGGATTCCAGCTGAGCCCAAGGTCGAACGCACAATCGATTCTTTGAACGAAGTGGAGAAACTGCATCAGAAAAATATTGAGAAGCTGATCTCCATTCTCTCCGGCGAGATCTCCATTGATCTGCAACTGCAGTTCCTCATCCGCAGTAATCATGCCGATTTGCAGGTGCTGCGCGGCACCAAGGAGGCTGTGCGCGTGTCCATTTGCCACACGGCCACGGTCATCGCCAATGCCTTCATGCACAGCGGCACCACCTCCGATCAATTCCTGCGCGACAACTTGGATTGGTTGGCGAGGGCGACAAACTGGGCCAAATTAACGGCCACCGCCTCATTGGGTGTCATACATCGTGGACACGAAAAGGATTCGCTGGCGCTGATGCAAAGCTACTTGCCCAAGGAGGCGGGTCCCAGTTCTGGCTACTCTGAGGGTGGTGCTCTCTATGCTCTGGGCCTCATACATGCCAATCACGGAGCCAACATTATTGACTACTTGTTGCAGCAGCTGAAGGATGCCCAGAACGAGAATGTGCGTCACGGCGGTTGTCTGGGCCTCGGTCTGGCCGGCATGGGTACCCACCGACAGGATCTGTACGAGCAGTTGAAGTTCAATTTGTATCAGGATGATGCTGTTACTGGCGAGGCGGCGGGCATTGCAATGGGCATGGTTATGCTGGGCTCGAAGAACGCACAGGCCATCGAGGATATGGTGTCGTATGCCCAGGAAACGCAGCACGAGAAGATCCTTCGGGGTCTGGCTGTCGGCATATCGTTGACCATGTTCTCTCGCCTTGAGGAGGCCGATCCCCTCGTTACCAGTCTGTCCACCGACAAGGATCCCGTCCTGCGTCGCTCTGGCATGTACACCCTGGCCATGGCATACAACGGAACCGGCAGCAACAAAGCCATACGCAAACTCCTGCACGTGGCCGTCTCCGATGTGAACGACGATGTTCGACGTGCTGCTGTCACCGCCATTGGCTTCATACTCTTCCGCACACCGGAACAGTGTCCTTCGGTGGTCAGTCTGCTTGCCGAGTCCTACAATCCGCACGTGCGCTACGGAGCAGCGATGGCCCTGGGCATTGCTTGCGCCGGCACTGGGCTGCGCGAAGCCATTGCTCTGCTGGAGCCGATGGTCAAGTTTGATCCCGTGAACTTTGTGCGCCAGGGAGCATTGATTGCCTCGGCCATGATCCTGATACAGCACACGGACCAGAGCTGCCCCAAGACCACCTTCTTCCGGCAGCTGTATGCGGAGGTCATTAGCAACAAGCACGAGGATGTCATGGCCAAATACGGCGCCATCTTGGCACAAGGTGAGTTCTCCCCTTTGGTGGGATTGTAAAACAATAAACTTCAATCGGCCTCTCTTTATTGCTAGGTATCATTGATGCTGGCGGACGAAACGCCACGCTCTCGCTGCAATCACGCACCGGACACACCAATCTGCAGGCTGTCGTCGGAATGCTGGCCTTCACTCAGTACTGGTACTGGTTCCCCCTGGCTCACACTCTCTCGCTGGCCTTCACGCCGACCTGTGTGATTGGTCTGAATTCAGACCTGAAGATGCCCAAAATGGAGTACAAGTCGGCTGCCAAGCCATCGCTGTATGCCTACCCTGCCCCGCTGGAGGAGAAGAAGAGCGAGGAGCGCGAGAAGGTGGCCACGGCAGTGCTCTCGATTGCCGCCAGACAGAAGCGTCGCGAGAATGCCGACAAGAAGGAAGACGAGAAAATGGACGTCGATGAGGACAGCAAGGAGGGTGCGACTCCAGCCAAGAAGGAGGATGAGAAGGCCGAGCCGTCGGCCAAGTCCGATGAAAAGCCAGCGGAGGAGAAGCCCAAGAAGAAGGACGAGAAGGAGAAGGAAAAGAAGAAGGAGGATGAGAAGGAAAAGGACAAAGAGGCGGCCGGCACAAGCGCTAGCGCTAGCGCTGACAAAGAGAAGGACAAGAAGGAGGAGAAGAAGGAAAAGAAAGAGCCGGAACCGAATTTCGAAATCCTCCAGAACCCCGCACGTGTCCTGCGTCAACAGTTGAAGGTCCTGAGCGTCATCGACAACCAGACCTACGAGCCCCTGAAGGAAGTCACCATTGGCGGCATCATTGTATTCCAGCACAGCGGCAAGGTTGAGGAACAGGAACTCGTCGAGCCCGTGGCCGCCTTCGGTCCAATGAACGATGAGGAGAAGGAGCCCGAGCCCCCAGAGCCCTTCGAATACATTGAAGACTAAATGGGCATGTTGTTCGTCATTATCTAAGTAAATTTGTTCAGATTTTTCAGTTTGGGCATACGTGTCACGATATCTGCACTAGACACAAAACAATTGCATATGCCGATTTAATGCTAATCCCTAATTATAATACAATAAAAGTTTCATCGTCTATGATGTAAAAAACTTGCTTTATATGGTTTTTGGATCATAAACTTAATATAATGATTAGGCGCAAATTTTTAGGACAAAACGAGAAGGAACGTGTGAGTCGCTTCTAAAGACGCGACTCTGCTTATACCCGTACTCAGTCAGTATTTACATTTTTGAGCATATGACTTTTTAGAATTTTAGAATTAAAAAAAAAAAATTTAATTTTAAATTTTTTTGCTACATCTGCTATCTACATCTACATATACTATGTATATTCTACATCTAACATGTAGATTGTACATGTTCCATTTAGATTCTACATTTCCTCCGCTAGAGGTTGCTCGCGCACTGAACACGGCAGAGTGTGCGAGCGAGAAGGAAAATGAATTGCAGGTCGTTGGCAGGAGGGGGCAGGGGAAGCAACTGAAAATTAATTTCTTCATTCTGGCTATAATTATGATCCGATCTGATTCAGATTCGGAAGTCTGGTAGATATGGGGATTTTCACGATAATGCGTTTTTAGTTTTATCGTATCTTTAAAAATGTGCCTGCCTCAGATTTTCATCCTTTGTGGGGGCGGGGCGAAATTTTGAAATACACTTGTAGCAGTGTGATATCACATGAGTCTGGAAACCAAATTTGGTTCCTCTAGCTTTTATAGTCTCTGAGATCCAGGCGTCAAACAAGACGGACGGGCGGACGGACAGACGGACAGACAGACATGGCTCTATCGACTCGGCTATTGATGCTGATCAAGAATATATATACTTTATGGGGTCGGAAACGTTTCCATCTCTGCGTTACACACATCCACTTTTACCACAAATCTAATATACCCCTTAACTCTTTTTTGATTACGGGTATAAAATGAACGGCGAACAGCTGACTCACAGTCTTGTTCGAAAATTCGAACTTGGTGCGAGGCAACAGCAATACGCAGCAGCAACCATAAACGAAACCATGCAATGGAAGAGCACAGCTAATGGGGCTGAAATATTTTAATTTCGATTTGGCGGGCTGGCAGTATATTCAAATTATTTTCATTTATATTTTGCATTTGAATCCTAGTTATTATCAACAAATGCTATAACAGTATCCTTTAAATGTGGGAAATCATTGGAATTAAGAGAAATAAGTTCTTTTCTTTTAGCAAATTGCATACAGTTATTTGATCTGCTTTTCACAATAAAATCACCCTATAAGGTGTGGTGATATAGGAAGTTTTTAATTGATATGAGTGCAGAATTCTCCGTCTAAGCTTTATATTCTTTATCCTTTTATTGTTTGTCAAGTTTTCTCAGAATAAATAAATATTCGGAATGACCAGAGTGCTGGTCCTGGTATTATGTCAGAGACCTGCTATTGTGAATGAAAGCTTTCGGCAAAAGCTCGTTCATATCTTTCTCCTTTTTCGATGCGCTCTCGCCCTCCCTCCCACCCTTCCTTTTCGCACACACAGAAATCGTGTTTTGTTGCTGGAGTTTATCATGGTCCTCTTTGGGATTGCGTTTCCTTTTGCTTTCGCTTTCGCACTCGTTTATTTAGTTCAGTGTGCTCCGTCGTTCAGTTGCGTCCTGCGTCCTGGCATATCCTGTCGCTTTAGCTGTGTGTGCTGTCGCTTAGCGTTCTGTTCTCCCCTCCGCAGCGGTTCTCCAGTTCTCGAGACTTTGAGTGCATTTCATTTCGGCGGCTGCAAACAACAACAGAAGTTTGCCAAAACAAAATTTGCATAATTCCGAAGAATTTAGTGGATGGTGTTTAGTTTAGTAAAACGCGGCCTGCTCTAGATCCGATCGGACCCGATCTGCCGAGCGCGAAAGCGAAACAGTAAACTTTTGTAATTTTTGTGGTGGTTTAAGCCGCTTTTAGTGAACCGGCTCGGATCACAGAAACATTTTTACTCGTCCACCTGGTTGTGCATTGGCACTGAACGGCTTCAAAATTAACTACTCAAAGTATCACCACAACGCTATGTCCCTATCGGCCATAGCCAAGGTAAGCGCAAATCGGAGTTCCCAGCGTCATTGGCGCCTTGTTTGGCAGAGAAATCCATTACCACGAATTGTCACTCATACCCCATGCGGGCGACATTGGCAATCTCTGACTTCAGTCGGTACAGGGGAAGGGGGGTTTGCTCATACCTTGATTTTGTGTTCGGATCGAGCATGCGCAGACTTTCAGAATTGCACAGCTCCCTCGCGTACACACTGCAAAAGTTTCGCCGCGCAGGGTTGCCAGGCGGATAACATGGCTGTGTGCAGGCACAACATGGATTACTTTCTGCGAGGACTCGACAACCCAGGGGCGAGGCTTTTAACTCAAACTCCGGACTCCACGAATGGCGGGCACTCGGCAAAACCAACCCCTAAAAGCACACCCTCTCCACGGACAAACGCCAGATGGGCGGACGGACAATGCTGCTCAACGAAACTTCTGAGCCAAATATCCTCTCGTGCTGCTGCTGCTGCTTGTGCTTCCTCTTGAGCCAGGGGTCCCCTTGGTGTCCTTGGCGCGTTTCTGCCGCCGCTGGCTTTCGCCTCGCCTGGCTTCGGTTCGTATCGTTGGACGAGGACAAGGACCAGGACAACGACAACGTCAACTTGATTAAGGTTAATGCCCCTATCCGACCTTGGGGTGCGACATACTTCGGGACTCGGTGCCGGCCTCGGTTCGGGCCCGGCCTACTCTGTGGGCTACTGCCACTACTGCTGGCTGTCTCTCGCGATTTGACTGCTGCTGCCGCTGTCCGACGCTTTCGGCTTTACTTTCTCATGGGTTCATTGAACTTTTAGGGAACTTATTATGCTTTCCGTGTACACACACACAAACACACAATCATGTTGTGTGAGTGGGTGGGTGGATGGGTGTAGGGTAGGCCACGTCGATAGGCTCTGTTGGGTTGATTGGCCAGTAGCAGCAAAAGCAGAGCCATCCGGCCGCGCTGTGTGTATATCATTTTAGGGCTCGTCCTCGTCCGCGGCCATTGCCGCTTTTCACTGTTCTGTTCTGTACTCAGCACAGCACAGCAGAGCGTGTTCGTCATTCGGAGTTCACTGTTGCTCTGCAGCTGTTGTCGGGTGCTATTTTTGGTGCAAGACGAACTTGACTCTGTGCTGTGTGCTGTGTGCCGTGCCTCGTCGCGTCGCGCCGGCCCGTGCTCTGGCTGTTTGCTGTACTGTGGCTGTGCTTTTGTTGCCCCATCAGTCTGTCTCTAGCGTTGCTCCTGTCTGCAGCATTTCGCCGCTTACAATACGATGAATCATGTGGGTATACCTATGCGAAAAAAGAGAAAACTTTAATATACTGTGCCTGCAAATCGATAAGTGTTTAACTGGAAGTAGATCTCGTTCAGATTTAATTCCGCAGCCTAATCATTGAGTAAACAAAGGCATTAATAGCGCCGAATGGCATTTAATGCAAATGATTAAACCAGTTTGACTAGATGGATAATATTGAAAATAGTTGTGCTGTTTGTGCCGTTTGTGCTGTTTGTGCTGTTTGTGCTGTGCCCCCCTGTCCCATCCAACTCGTTATCAGTGGCAACCTGTTCTGTTCTTTTCTGCTCTGGGCTCTGTGTGTAAATTATTATATATGTAGATTTCGTAATAGAATTTGTGGGGCTGGGTCGGCCAGTCGGCGTCCGGCACAGCAACCGAAAAGAAGTTTTTGTGACAAAATGTCTACTAATGCCAATGTTTCCTCCTCCGACGCACAGCCAATACTCTACTCGTATTGGCGCAGCTCGTGCTCCTGGCGCGTGCGCATTGCGATGAATCTCAAGGAGATACCCTACGACATCAAGCCGATCAGCCTGATCAAGTCCGGAGGAGAGCAGCACTGCAACGAGTATCGCGAGGTCAATCCCATGGAGCAGGTTCCGGCCCTACAGATTGGTGAGTACTCCTAAAGTTTGCCACTTTATACTACTTCCCAATGGACACACCCCCTAGATGGACACACCCTCATCGAATCGGTGGCCATTATGCACTACCTCGAGGAGACGCGTCCCCAGCGCCCTCTACTGCCACAGGATGTCCACAAGCGGGCCAAGGTGCGCGAGATCGTTGAAATCATTTGCTCGGGCATCCAGCCGCTGCAGAACCTGATTGTCCTGATACACGTGGGCGAGGAGAAGAAGAAGGAGTGGGCCCAGCACTGGATAACACGTGGCTTCAGGGCGGTGGAGAAAGCCCTCTCCACCTCTGCCGGAAAGTACTGTGTGGGGGATGAGATCTCGATGGCTGACTGCTGCCTCGTACCGCAGGTGTTCAACGCCCGAAGGTGAGACTATCCAGTGAAAGATTAACAGAGATGCTTAACCCATTTGTACTCAGATTCCATGTGGATTTGCGTCCGTATCCCATCATTCTGCGCATCGATCGTGAGCTGGAGAGCAATCCGGCTTTCCGGGCAGCCCACCCCTCGAATCAACCGGACTGTCCGCCGGAGCTGCCCAATAAATAGAATTTTCCGACGACAACTGCAAAGCGCCGTAAAACGAAAAAGTGAATTGCAGTTCGTGAACGAAACAAACAGAACACCTCAAGACAAACTACACAACAGAAATCTGATCAGTGAGCAGGAACATGGACAGGAAACGGAGGAGGGAGGTGCCGAGGAGAGCTGGCGGGGATTCCATTAAGCATAAACAGTCGGATGTGATTTAAAAATTTGCTAACAGCATTTGAAATATGCATAAAATATGCATAAAAATACTATCGATAACATAACGAAATTCCAACATGAAATTCAACAACTTTAAAAATTCCAAAATTCTTAAGAGAGAACGAAACAAAAACAAAACAAAACAAAAAAGAGTAATAAATTCCATAATTTCTCTTAGTTTGTCAATGTGAACATGATCTAAAAGATGAACTCATATACATACATACTTACAAATTAAATGTAACTTATTTTTATGCATTTTATTTAGGCTAAAAAAAACTTAACAAATTCAAGGAACACTCATGACGAAAAGCAAAATTAAATTCAGGGATCTAAAATGAAAAGCAAAAACAAAATATGAATACTATCGAAGATATAAAGATATATATTATACGTATGTATAAGTACTTCATGTCAAAGTTGGGCATACGCTAGACAAAACGTTCACAAAGTACAAAACTTCAGTCAAGAATTAAGTAAACTATACCAACAGACAAACTATATGTTAAATCGAATAAATCATAAGTAATATACGAGAACTATACACACAGCACAGGTCAATCGATCGATCAGTGTTGGGTCAACTATTTTATGGCTCCAAGTGGATCCGCAACTGCATAACTAACCCCAAGTATTTCTCTCAACTCAACTCAATGCACATAGACGAATGACAAAGCCAACAAATTAAGTGCACTGTATTTTTAATAGAAAGTCGATGTAAACTGGAGCGTGAGAATCTGTTCACAAACCTACCTACATATGTACGAGTAGCTGTAAGCCTGCCAATGCCAAGTACTCCTGCATAACGGTACAATGCACGAGCCGAAGGACGAAGGACATTAGTCACATCATACAAATATACATACATAAAATACTTATATAAAAAGAGCTGCGCATTTTCGCATACCAAACCAAAAGCAAACCAAATTGAAAACCAACAAAACAAACAAACTAATATTCATAATTTCCGAAATATTGTAACAGTTCCATATACTATTAATAAATAAACTTCAAACTAAACTAAGCCAAAGCAATAAGTTACTGATGGCTTTGCAAATTTTTGCTTATGGATGGGATCATTGAAGCATTGGATCATTAGCATTATAGAATAGCACAAGATGTAATAATAGTAGTTGATTTTTCTCGATATGGATTTTAATATATAAATATGTCCGTGCATATTTATTTCAATTTATTTATTAAAAAAATGCACACGAAAATTTACATCCATACTACATTCTCAAAACCGATACTTGGTTCCAAAAACATACCAACGAAATCTTCAATCGATCTATCGATAGCAGTTATTCCCTGAAAGCTCATAATCAATGAAAACAAGTTAACAAGCGATTAGAGATCAATTGTATCAGGCATAAAAACAGATAAGATAAGTGCAATGGCAGCACTGAGATTATTGGCCCCCCAGGGACAGCAGTGTACTCAAATCTTTAGACCACCGTTTAGTGCTAGTATGTCTTCCAGCTCTGTGCTTAAAATGTCGACACCGGCTACTGATGGACCACAACCCAAACTCTACGCCTTTTGGACAAGTTCGTGCTCCTGGCGTGTTCGCATTGCACTGACCCTCAAAAATATCCCCTATGAAATCCAAGCAATCAATTTAGTCCAGACCGGCGAAGATCATGCCTATACCGACAAGTATCGTGAAGTGAATCCCATGCAGACAGTTCCATCGCTTCAAATAGGTTAGTATTAAAAATATAAAATATATATTGGAAAAGGTGTAATTTGGAAATATCTACAGACGGACACTCGTTGTGCGACTCGGTAGCCATTATGCACTACCTGGAGGAGACACGTCCTGAGATCCCATTGCTGCCACAGGATGTCATTAAACGAGCCAAGGTGCGGGAAATCGTAGAGCTCATTTGCTCGGCCATTCAGCCCCTGCAGAATCGCTTGGTCCTGGAGCATGTGGGCAAGGAGCAAAGCCTTGTGTGGGCACAGCATTGGATAGCTCGAGGCTTTAAGGGTCTAGATCGAGTGCTCGCCGGATCCGCTGGGAAGTATTGTGTGGGCGATGAGCTATCCATGGCGGATGTATGCCTCGTGCCGCAAGTTTTCAATGCCCGAAGGTATGTAATCAATCATTGCTGCAATCACTGCTTTATACGAGTATTTCTCTCTGCCAGATACAAAGTGGAATTGACCCCATACCCGAACATCGTTCGCTTGGATCATGAGCTACAAAGTTTACCAGCCTTCAAAAGCTCCCATCCTCATCAACAGCCCGACTGTCCACCAAAATTTGCTGGCAAATAGGAAATAACTACATATAAGGAATATCCTTGAAAAATAACATTCTATTCGCATTTATATTAAATATTTGTTTAAACATAAAGAAAGAAAAACTGCAGTTTAATTTATAATTTAATTTTTATTAGTTTCGTCATTTTCATATAATCGTTCTTAAATGTGTAATGTTTAATCCATGTTGTAATTCATTTATGTACCGTCCTAGCTTTGCAATTTCTAATCTTTCATCCTGGATGCGGATGCGGATCTTTATAATGTTTTTGTGTGTTTTTGTTTGTTTGTGTTTGTGTTTGTGTGTGTGTGTGAGTGTGTGTCGTATGCACTTATTGGCGTTTCCGGTTGGTTGGGTGTCTGTTGTGTGTTTTTGTGTGTTTCTGCGTGTGTATATATGTATTCAACAAATTTTCACTATAAATACTATTACATACAGATGCGCCAAACGCATGCCATAACATTATCATACCATTACATTCGATATACATGTATGTACTGCACTGTATCTAACATCGGTACCGATCGTTCATCAGCCTACCTAGAGCTTAGCTTTCCATTTTATTGCTGGCCAACACCATAAAGAGTTATCTTGCAATCTTTTTCTTTATCCTTTTTCTTTCACTATCCGTTATGTATTATTCGGTTGTTTTTTTTTTCGAGTATGATCCATTTTTGGGGGTTATATATGTAGCTATGTATATATATGTATGTAGAGAGGAGTAACTGTTTTGCATACGTTTTTTTTCTTTTTTTATCCGCAATTGTACAAGTTTGTTTCTTATCTTTTGTCTAGTTGCAAAAATTATGTTTTTCGTTTTGTTAAAATCTGAATGAGCTACATTTAAAGAATCATCTTTTGTTTGGGATACCTTTTGATTTAATTGTTTAAAGATTTCACTATACTATTTTTTATTTCTTTGCGCCATGTGTTTCGCATTTGCTTTTTGTCAAATCTATATCTCGTTTTTTTTTTTGTCAATTTAAATGATATTGAGAAATAAAGAAATCCTACATTATTTCGTGGCTATGTGTGATCCATTTCATTTGGTTTTGTTTCGAATGCTAAATGAATAAATTTATAAAATCCTTTGCTTTACTACTTGATCGTTAAAAAACTTCAATTGATTATAAATTGTAAATAGAGCATAACTAAATATCGTTGATTTCCTTTTATACTTTTGTATTTACTTTCTTTAATTTAGTAAGGATTTTACATTTTCCATTTCTGGGTTCTTCTATTCATTATTTTCGTTTTTATTTCGAGTTTATTGGGGCATTCATTCGCACTCAGAAACGGGGTTTGGTTTCGCTAAAATTTTATTTAAATATTTTGCTAATATGTATAAGTAAAACACGTCTCTCTCTCTCTGCAAATACATGGTATGTTCTCATTCGGTTTACTCCACCATCTGGCAAAAGAATTTCCGAATTCGATTTGCCTACTTAAGGGAGCCTGAGCCTTCAATTTGTATCGCACCTAGGTTAATATTACATTTGCTTCGCCTATATACGCGGGGTATTGTATATACATTTATATATACTCTATATTTGTTTAATTTGTTCTCCATCTCCGTTCTACCTTTCTCGTTTTGTCATTATTATTATCACAGTCAAATCATAAAAGATTTAGTACTTTTACTTTTGAATGAGTTTCCATGATGTTTGTTTTTTCTGCTAAATGTTTCGCGCTTCCGAATGACCACCGATCCACGCCAATTTCTTCATTGTGTCGTCTTCTATATAACTATTGAGAGATCGAAACGTATTGCTGCTGTTCGTAATTCCTATAGAGAGTGCAACGGAATTTGACTTTGTGTGAAGAGGGGTGCTAGTATTTCCATATATTTCCATTATCATGTACTATTCTCCTAAGAAACGTTAAGAAGTTGTTTGCAAAGTAATGATATCGAACTAACCTCTTTACGCACTCACTGCTATGGTTATATCTAGTCGTTTGTATAAAATATTAACAGAATTGGAAATCCTACGTTGAGCGAAATATTGGATTTTTGGGGAGCTGCTGAAATAAATCGTGAAGGCCGTTTTTTTTTGTGTATTTAACATTTGTTCTCGTTGGCTAAGGTACTCACGTATGCTACTTTTTGGATTGGATTCGACAAAGTATCTACTTGTATGAGAAGAAATTTCGAAAATACCCACAAACATTGGCATTTTAATTGTTTTGTGTTTGACGATCGATCCAAAGTTTAATTTGTCAGTTAACTATTTTGTACATTGAATATACGTGTATATTGCATTTCGAATGGAGTGGTGACTCTCAGAGGGTATATCTCTTCGCTATGACTGTGATGCACTTGCATGAGTTATGACTTATCCTAAATTCCGTCCTTGTATCTAATCTATGGATACACTTTTCCAGCGAGTCAGATATTGCACAGCAATATCCGAAGCATTCCTTATAGCTAATGTAAATTTTTCAACCCTTCTTCGGGCTGCCACCAATTCTGGTGCGCAGACCCAATTGCTAAGAAAACAAACATAAAGAAAAGATATAAATATACGTAAATGTGGGATCCATGTGGAGGAGCTGGAGCACTTTGAGATGTTTGAAAAGTGTGGCCCAACAGATTATTCCCAGTGGGGGGTTTTGAGACTTGCTTAGTTTCAATCGTTAAACCGCTTTTATTTGCTTGAATTGTTTAATATTAATTTATGTATCACACTAACGACTACTTTTTATACTTTTAGTGTATGCATGTATGTTTATATATGTATATTAAATATATATATATTTATTAATATTTCACTAATGTTGAATTGTGTTATGTTCTGTTCCGTTCTTTTCGGTTCTGTTGTGGTTGTGGTTGAATGAACACACCTCCCCTTGCGTAGCTGTCTTCCACCGAATAGCTTTATACAATACAATGCTATAATGAGGTTATATTATGATTCAGTTAGTACTTGTCGTACCTTCAAAACATCATCTCTTGGGTTTTTCATATACATATATATTGTATGTGTATGTCTATATATAGGTGTGTATATTTATATATATATAAGATGTAATATGCATATGCATTCGTTAATGTTTAATTGTTCTAATAACAGTGTGGGGGTGGCAAAGCATAACAAATTATATTTAACGATTCTTTTAATTATTTTTCTTTCGTTTAAGTTCTTTATGTATGTATTAATGATTCCATATATATATATATGTATGTATGCACTATACGAGATTTGATTGATAAATTGAACTCCTCTTTACATATTTTTGTATCTTTAGCAAATTACGGATTTTCATTATTGTTTTTGTATTTGTTTTTTTTTGTTTTTGTTTTTTTTTTCTTGTATTATTTTGTTTCTTTCCATTTGGTTTTTGTTTTTCTCAAATTTGAATTACTTTAAATATTCACGTACTGTATGTATGTATATAGTTAATAAAAGTTGCATTTTATGTGGTACTACTTTAACACTAATAGACTCCGTCGTTGAAATAACAGCTGTTTTACTTTCCCTTTCCTTCTTCTATTTTCCTATCCTCCTACCTTTCCATATTTCTATTCTTTTCTTCTTATTGTTATTAATTATCATGCCTTTAATAAAAAACTTTCTGAATCGGTGAACAAAAAACATTAATTTAATGCACACGTCTATCCAAAGTTTATTTTTGTTGTTTTCTAATGATTGCAGTGGAAATTGGAGTTGAAGTGGCGATAGATTGGTGATTGGGTTGAATGGCAGAATGTGTCTGATAAGTGGCTGGGGGGAGCGGGATGTGGGCGGTGCTTGGCATTAACAATTGAAGGGTGAGCACAAAGCAATCATGCAATCATCCAAAACCCTTTGGATGGATCTTCCCCACAGTCCTTTCTCAGACCTGAACTATGATGGCGCGGGATGCGTGAAGCTTCAATTTGTACAGCAAATAACAAACGTGTTCAAACAATAAAATCCAAACAAGCATAAACACGTCGAAAGCGTAGGACACAGGATATCTGAACGGATTGGAACCGTTCTTCTGACTTGATCCCTGACCTGACCCATTACCCCTTTTTATTTCAGTCCTCTCTTTCGTCACGCCCTCAGCCCACACACAGCCCACAATAAACGATGACGAGGGGTAACATAGGCGGAGTACATATATCGGACATTTGCTGAGAAACGGAGTTGGAATCGGCAAAAGATTTTGCAGTGAATACGTATGCATATAGTATGGGGTGTGGTGTGGTGTGGCCTCCGACTTGGAACTGTGTCCATGCATATTTCTGTTGATGAATTGAGAACTTGATTTTCGGGGAATTTGTTTGCTTTTCAAGTAAAGCTTTTCTTTTCTCTTAGTTGTCTCATTAAAAAATTAATTATTTCATAATTAATTTCAAGTTTCATTTGACTTCTTCTTCGTTTAATAAATATATTTTTGCTTTCGTTTTGCTTTGTTTTTTTGTTTTTCTTTAAATACATATCACAGATCCAGTACAAATATAAGTATATATATTTGTGGTTATTCTCCCTTATTCTCTTCTTCTACTATAAGTTTATATATCATATAAAACTCATACATTAAACATAACTCAGTGAGCACGCGCGCATGTGATACTGATATTTAGTACGAATGTGTGTATGTATGGGGGGACGTATGCATGTGTGTATCTGCGTGTTTGTGTGTGTGTGTGTAGTGGGTCGGGAAATGTATCTGAGTTAGTTGGGGTTCTTATGGTGCTCGGATTCTCTGGGTGGCTCTGATAGGATTGTTCGTTGCTCTCCCGTTGTTGAGTTTGAGATGTGACCAGAAAAAAACGAAAAGTAAATGTCGTTTTGTTGTTTGAATTTTGTAGGTTGTTGGTTGGTTGACTGATTGGTTGATTGGTTGACTGATTGACTGGGTTTTTTTGTGGGAGGGTGGACGAAAGGGGATCTGTGTATTATGCTTGTTGTGATTCTTGTTTTAGTGGATTTCTGCTGCTGCTGCTGTTTTGCCTGGATAATTCCTACTTTTAGACAATCTATTGCTTATCATTTCTCTCGACGTTGTGCTGTGGTTTTTTTTTCTTTATGTTTTCCATAAAATAATAGTTTCAATTAAAACAACAACATCATCTTTATTCCCTTCCGATATTTCTTTCTTTTGTTTTTTTTTTTTTTGGATGTTAATGCATATTTCAAGGCACACTAGCATTTACGACTGTACTTTCAAATTTTCCTTAATTTTTTGTTTCATTTTTCCCCTCATTTATGGTAGTTAGGTAATAGTTATTCTTTAAGACAAAATTTCTTTTGTTTTGTCACAATTATCTCCTCTAGTTATCCGTTTGATTTCATATTTTAATTGTATTATATAAATATTGCACAAATAAGAACAATTGTAGGTATGTAAGTTTTAACAATAATAGCAAAAAAATTAATAAGAACAACTTTTAAACTTAAACATAGACTTAGCTTAGGATTGGTTGCTGTTTTGCTTGCTGTTTATCCATTTGAATATCCCTTCATTTCCCTACATTGATGAGCGTTTTCAGTGATTGAATCGATATTGATATTGAGAGCGTATCAAAAGAAGTGGTTGGTTGGTTTGACTGACTGATTGACTGACTGACTGGTTGGTTGGTTGGTTGATTGTTGATTGGTCATGATAATGTTGTAGACTGGTTTTAGGATACGTTTTGTGGCTGTTTGGGTTAGTGGGTGAGCTGAGGGGGTGGTGCTGGGCGAGCGGGTTGGTGGTGCACCAGGTGCGCTTTTTTTAAATTTAAATTAAACACAAAAAACGTTGCATGTTTTTTTTTCAGATTTTATTGAAATTTCGTTTCATCATTGTCTTTGTTTATTAATCAAAAAGAAAGGTTAAACTTAATTATGTGTAAGGAATAAAGTAAAATAAGAAAAATTTCATTACAAGTAAGGCATTTCTCTCTCTGTATGGATGGGTATGGGGACTTTTCCTTGACTTTGTGTATGTGTGTGTGTATGATTAGGCGGAAAATTTTTTGTTTTTCATTTTTAATGTGATGTTAAGTTGGTTTTTTGTCTTTACACTGCATTCTAGATATGTACATAAAATTGTGGAGTTGTGAAATGTTTTGTCGAAATTATGTTTAATAATTGCACAATACTTAAAATTAAGAGAGGGAAATTGTTTGGTGAAATTTCTGATTTTTGTGGCATGAAGAAAACCCTAAATGAATGCTTTCATATGAGAATATTTTACAGAGAAACGTCGATTGTTTTCTTTTTTTTTTTTTTTTTTTCTTCTTTTAATTAAGGTTTCAATCAAAAGAGTAGTGTGATGTGAAGAAAATGTACGACTTAAGATTAAGAATGTAAGAAACAAATGTGCTAAATTTACCAAAAAAGAATATGAAGTTTAGAAAACAAAAATAAAAAAATTAAGAGGTGCAGTTCTCGAACTGGCAGCTAACAAATCGCATAGTTATAAATAATATATATATATATTAAACAATGATTGTATAAGGAGTAACAAATCGGGAGCACAAATCATAACCAAAGGGAGACTCACGTGCGCGCGCAACACATTAACACCACTTGATTGTATGGGATAGATAGTCTCTCTGTCTAAAACTTAACAACATTATCATGATCAACGTCAACTATATATGTATCTGTTTAAAGCTGTGGAATCGTGTGTATATATATACAGCAGTAAGCAATAGGGGGAATAGAGTGGGGGGAAAGGGGCAACAACAGAGAACAGATAAAACAGGAAACAGAAAACAAAAAACAGAAAACGGTAACGAAAGAACGTAATATGTCAGTAGTTTATTTTGGGGAACAACACTTTTTCACTAGCCTGTCAGCAGTAGTACTCGTAGTTTTTCTTGTATTTCTTTTGTAGTAAAATATTTACCTTATTTCGAGGTTAAGAATCACCTGAAGTTTTCACTGAAAACGCTCGCTCAGTACACGGAAAAGAAGAGGCTTTTCTTGGCCTTTTCCTCAGCTCGTTTTAGTTCAACATAATGCTAATATTTATGTGTATCGTGTAAGTGTGTGTTTGGGTTGTGTGTAAGGGGGTGTGTGGTGGTGGCATATGTAAATATATATATGTATGGGCATATGTGTGTGGATAATATATAAACAAGACTCAACAACGTGTGTACATAACATATACATATGTATATATGCCCCATATGTGTCGTATATAGCTTTTGTCGGGGCCGAAAACCAAAAAACAAAACACGCAACGCAAACAAACACATCACAAACAAAATAACCCAAACAGTTTTGCCTTCTTTCTATCTATGTATTGTAAGTATGCATGTGTGTCCGATCTGGCATTAAAATATCTGGGCGTTAACTTTGATTTCGATATCGATTCGATTCGTGACAAACAAATGCAACAATCATTTATTGTAGAGCGGGTTAATCCATATTATTATACAAGTTTTTCCTTTTCTTTTCCTCTTCCCTTCTCATTCGATTTTCCTTCTTTCTCTATTTTTCTCTAAACTTTAAAGCATTTCTCCACGGGGTCTTGAGGGCCTTGAACAGTGTACCCAAAAAGGTGAATGGGGGAAGGGAGAGGTATATGCAATACATAATTAACATTTATTAAGTGTTTAACTTTTTTTGCAGTTCGCATAACAATTGGTGTTTTTTTTCTATTGCTGAAGTTCCCTTTCTCTTATTTCTGTTTTTAAATTTAATATTTCATGGCTTTTTGTTTTTCTTTACTTATTTCGTTTTTTTTTGTTTTTCCTTTTGGTGTTGCTTCTTACAGAAAATGAACAATTTTTGTTAGAGGAAAAACTTGCTATAGCCTATAGGTGTATGCTGTGGTGTTGTTTTGCTGTGGTGTTATGTTGTGTGTTGCTTGTTTGTTGGTTGTTTGTTTGGTTGTTTGATTGGTTTTTTTTTTTTTGGGGTTGATTGATTGGTTTACTTGGATATTAATTCACAACAGTGGTTAATGGAATTTGTCGCGCCCTCTTTGTCTCCTCCTCGGTGATTTTCTGCTCAATTAGAAACTGCGCTTTGGCAATGGCGTTCGGCTGACCAGTAATAGTTACAATGCGATTTCTAGTGCCAGGTGCGAATATGCCCTTTTTGGAAATTTGCACATTTGCGCCAGAAACATGTTGAATCTCAACTAAACTACGACCGTTCGGACCTGGAATATTTGCATCAGATTTATGTTAAATATATTTTAAGAATAGTAATATGACATTATGTGGATTATATACGATTACGAGTTATATAGTTATGTATAGTATATGGGGGGAAGGTTTGTGTGTGTGTGTGTGTTCTTTATAGCAGTTAAGTGTTTAGTGGATCGAAACTTACGACATTGTAAATCATACCAAAGGAAACACAATAATCAATAGCCATTGCAATAAGCTCTGGAATGGTGGATTTGGGTGGTAGACTGGAATAAGGTGTATTGGTCAGAGTGCCTTGACCCTACAAACTAATGACCTAACGACCTTATAAATGACACTGAGGTAAATTTAACAGTATCCAACAAAAATAATATTAACTCGTTGTTTATCCAAGAATTGCACTAGCCGACTGGGGGCATAAGTATTCATACATACATATGCATATATCGTATGTAAGACAAAATTCGTTAAACATAAAACAAAATGTGGGGAAAAACCTACAACCTAATTTGGGTGGGGCCTAAAACTAATGCCTACTGATAACTGCTAACTGCTGCTGCTGCTTTTCAGATACAGAATTCTCGTATCTGTGTGAAACTTGTGCGAACTTTCAGTTGAACGGAATGGGAGTGGATCATGGATCATGGATCGTGCGGGTTGTGTGTGAGGCAAGAACTTGACTAGAAATTTCGCTATAAGTTGGATGAATTTATTGGGAATATCATATTGAGAATGTTGAACGGAATGTTTCGAATGCAGAGACTACTCAACAGATCTCTCTTCCTATCTAGCTCTCTGTCTCTTGAGAGTCTGCCCTGCGATGAGTCTGCTGGAATGGCGGCTATGTTTAATGAATCTGATCTATGGCTAAAGCGCAGAGTGGGGGGGATACGCGTGCGATGTAGGGGAAACTCTTTCGGCTTTTCCTTCTATTGGCTTCTGGTGTGTGCTAGGATGGATCGGGGGCAGGAGGAGTTCGGGGTTCGGTAAATAAAGTTGCGGTGTTGTTGCTGTAGTTTCTGGTAGGTTGTTTGCATTTTGCATTTAGCATTTTTTGCATTTAGTAGGGGTAATAGTAATGGCGCCCACCTAGAATTGCGCCGATGATCATCTCGGGCACCTCCACGTTCTTCGAGTCCTTAGAACTCAGGTCTCCGGGTGTGGGGCTCTTGCTGAGGCCGCCCAACTGGGCGCTGTTCGCCGCTCCCGTGGCAGCCGTTAGCCCGAAACTGTTGTTGTTCAGCGAGACGGGCGTGGCCGGCGCCGTGGCGGAGCCCAGATGGCGGAATGGATCGAATTGCGCCGCGGCGGCGTCCAGCTGCGACTGTGTCGGCCGGCTGGCGGCTGCGGCAGCCGCTGCTGCAGCGGCATACTGCTCCAGATTTACCTGGCCGACAGCGCCAAACACATTGCTGGCATTGGCCGCATTGGCTGCCGCCGCCTGTTGGTCCAGCGTCGTCACGCCCAGGAAATTGCCCAGCGTCGAGTGAGCACCGTTGGTGTGGGGCACGCCCACGCCCATGCCGAGGACTCCGTACTTGGCCAGTACGGCAAGGGCGTTGCAGACTTCAGTGGTGACGGTCTCCGAGTAGCCAGAGCCGCGCATGGCAACCTGCAAGGGGGAAACCATTCGTTGGTTAGTCATCTTCCAGAGATGGGAACGCCACTGATCAGTAATCACCAGCGGATGGGACCGAACCTTAATATGCTCGAGCAGTTGGTTGGCAACCGCCAGATTGGGCGCCGGATTGGGGGAGCCCAGATTGATGGACAAGTTGATGCCGGTGCCGTTGACTAGCAGACTGGCCGCCGAATTTCCGCCACCGATGGAGGTGCCCAGCGTCGAGTTGAGCGATGCGGTGCTCGAGTTGATGGCATTCTGATTGGTGGCATACGGGGAGCCGGTTGGATTGAAGTTGGCCACCGGCCCACTGACGTCCGCGTAGGAGACATTAAGACAGGTGCCCGACTGCGGATCCTCGACGATCTTCGAGAGGATCATCTTGCAGGCGTTCTTGTTGTTCTCCTTGTCGCCTATGATGGTGATGCAGCGCTCCTGCAGCGAAACGTCCTTGGGCTTCTGCGAGATCTGGACATAGGAGCCGCTGTCCTCCTTGATCTGTTTGATGAAGGCACCGCCCTTGCCGATGATCATGCCGGCTGTGGAGTTGGGCACCAGAATCTTCACCTGCTTGTCCCGCTCCTGCGTCTGTTTCGACTCGGCATCGATGATTTTTGTGGTCAGGTCGGGCTTCTCGCGGATTTTGTCCATGATAAAGTCCAGCACAACCATAATGGCCTCCGTGGATCCAGTGATCAGGCAGACGCGTTCAGTGGTGCCTAAACAAAAATATGCGATCGTTTCAGTTGGAGTTGGATCATTAGGGGGAGCATGGGTAGATAGGACTCACCTGGATAGAAGTCGTGCGACTTGGACATCTTTACCCTAGCACCCGTGTCCTTCTGCAGGGAGGCGATCGTCTCGCCTCCTTTGCCAATGATGGCCCCTGAGGCCACCGCGGGCACCAGTATTTTCATGTGATACGTTGTCTCACCTGCAATCAAAAAATCGAGACGGGTTCACAGAGCGACCAATGGTTTTCGAGGTTTTTTTTTTGTTTGGGAAGGTAGAGGGCGGTTATTCCTTTCAATAGGTATTATAGTAGGTCCCGGTTCTGGTTAGTCGGGGTACTGGGGGGCTTTTGGCTGTTTGCTGTTGCTGTTGGGGTTAGTTTTGCTACGTTCTTTTTGCTACAAATTATAAATAATAACAGCTCTCATTCAGCGACGATCGTTTGTTCGTTCGGCGGGGCGCTCGCAACGATACGACGGCGATTTGTTCTTCAAGCATTACTTCAATTCGATTCGAGTCGATTTTTGGTTAGTTTTAGTTTTAGTTTTTTGTTTGGTTATATAGTTATAGAAATTCAATTTTGGTTTAGTTTTTAGTTGCATTTTTTTGTTTGTTTGTTTGTTTGGTTATTTGCTGTGTTTTTACTATGGCTATGGGCGGTTTGGTTATGGTGGTGCTGGCGGTGTGGTTCGACTGTGTGGTCTGTTTTGGTGGCTGTTGTGGTTTGATTTTGATTGTGGTTTGTGGCAAGCCATGAGACGAGTAGGAGATATGCGCTCGAGATGAGATGCAACGGACAGAATGCGCTGGCGACACACATGACGACGAAACACATGAGTAAACCGCTTACTTCCTCCACTGGACCGGACTGGACCGGACCGCACCGGACGGACGCAGGTCATCCGAGTGGCAATCGTAATCATATTCGTAATGGTAATGGTAATGGTACTAGCCAAACAAAAAAAAAAAGAAACCATTTCCAACAACATTTTGTAAGTTAAAGCAAAAAGTTGGTCAAGGGTTCGGAGGTTAATGTTCGTTGGTTCAAAGTCAGTTTTCATTTTTCGTTTTCATTTTTTTTTTTTTGTCGTATGTTGTTGTCATTTTGAAAGTCAAGCTCAAAGCGCGCGCTCTTGCAGAAAGATACAGGTACAGATACAGAAACAGTTACAGAGACAGAGATACATACAACGAAACGGTACAGATAGCATTGATTCTACGCTCTTTAAGTAGTGGGTATTAATCGCTTTAATTAGTTGATCATTTGGCTAGACAAAGATGGGTTTAATGGTATTTAATGAAAGTGTGAGAAAGCTTACCATGATGAATATGATTATTGTTATTATTTTCAATTTCAACCTCAATTCCAGAACAAACTGACTCACCTGAAATGGCAAAGAGAAGAACAAGAATAATGGATTATAAATAGGGGGTTGGTTTTTTGATACAAAAAATACACATTTACTACGTAACAATAACAATTAGATGATGTAAGGCAATGGGCATGAACGAATATGTCACATGGGGCAGGGCCTTTTGGGTTGATTAACTCAGACCCAGTGCTTACTATAAGGGCAGTCTTCAAAAGACAGCAGGCATTAAAGACTCAATGACAAGATCATTTATGGGATAAATGAATGCCAACCAGTGAAACCCGGATAAGCAAGCCTAAGGCCAGTTCTAGCTTCTTGAAGCCTGTTCATACTGTACAGAAACTATTGCAGTGTCAAAGACGGGAAGGGCATTGCAAACTCAACAACAAGATTGAGCTAGGAATATGTCTGGGCAAAGCTTCATGAATATGTACAGTGGATACCCGCTTAGTAAACCGAGAAGAAGAGCGGGCTACGCAAAGTTCCTTCCAGCTGGTGTCCATTGTACAGAGGGCATCACAGACTCAAGTCGCCTGCCAGGGCCGCGCCAGTAAACAAACAAATTTCAATTAATAAAATGTGTCAAGCGGAGACGCTCTATTGCACAAACGACCATGCGGCAGCGTGACAGCGTCACAGATCTAAGCGCGTTGCACCTGACTGGCGCTGCCACAGCCGTCTGTCCGCCTTACTCCACTTGACTTGAGGCAGCCCCAAGACTGTGCCACCGACGCGCCACCGTTGTCGCTGCCACTTGCCACTTGGCACTCGTTTTGTCTAAATTTAGCTTCTCTTTCGCTCGCCCTTTCTCCCCCACACCCCACCACATAGATATGCTGAAATGTGTGCCAGTCGTCGACGTCGACTTGGTCTTATTGCCACTCAGAGGCAGACCCAGAGGCAGAAGCAAAGGCAGAGGCAGAAGCAAAGTGTCCTTCAAAAGTATTTCTCTAATTAGATGCAACGCACACATGGTGCCGCCCCGCACAAGCGATGACATTGCAGGGGCAGTGCTAGGGGGTGCATGGGGGACCGTCGCATTGGACCATTTGTGCCGCTTTGCAAGCATGTGTGAAAATGCGATTTGCAAAAGAATTTGCAAGGCGAAAACAAAAGCAAAATGAGCAGAGAAGCAAGCCACAGCCCACATATCTAACGCTTCGCCCACAGTTTGGCCAATTTCGATTTCAGAAAACGAAATGCAAATGCTTTAAAATAATTGAAATTGCTCTTACTTTGCCAGCTTGCCGGATGCATCTGTCAGATATCTATCAAATGTAGATAACCGCAAAAAAGTGGAAATAAAAGCAATGAAAACAAAAGAGAAATAAATAAAATTTGGCTGCAATCTGCACAGTAAATATTGCAGGGGCAGCCAGGACCTGCCACCAAGGGGCACGAAGTAAGGGCTGCTGTGGCTCTGCTCCGCCTCTGGCTGTTGACACTGAGCTGCAGCTTAAATTATGTGACTGCCATAAATAACACTTGCAGCACATTGGCCAGACCGCCCAGAGGGCTGCACTGCTTGTGGCTTACAAGTGGGCGTTGCACAGAGCGGTGGCAGGCAGACTGGAGACTAATTTCATATGCATTGTGTGCAGGATTGGTTGTGGAAAACTCGGGAAACTAGGCTAACGACAAGCTGGCACACTCATCGTCGCTCGTCGCTCGTCCTACTCTCCCGGCAGCACCAAAACGAATGCAATGAAAAATAAAAACACCTCCGTGCAGCAATCTGTAGCACGCAAATAGTTGAAGCAAAGTTCGTTGCAGCCAAGTGGTTGTCGCGTACCACGCGACGTATGTGTAATGTGGCTAAATGTGACACGCGAACAAATGCCCGGATCCCGTAGCGGACTACACGATATTCATTAGGCCCCAACCACGGGAGTTTGTGTCCGCTTGAAAGTATGGCCATGCTAAGCAGAATAGGATGTTTACCATCGATGGGATACAATATGTCAAGATATGCATGAAAAGCCATAATCAATGGATATTTAACACTCTTTATAATCACTGCAGTGGTGGATTTTCAAACTCTTCCCAAGCCTCCTCTTTTCTCCTTTCTCTTCCTTTCCTTTCCGTAGCCCATTTCTCTTTCTCCTAACACATGCATGTGTGTGTCGCAAATTTCCAAGCGAAATATATGTCATGCCGTAATATTTATGCAACACCCATGAATCACTAGGGCCCGCAAAGCAAAGGAAAGCCATACCACATGATACATACATAAAAGTTTAAAGCAAATTTTTAGATGGACGCCCACATTAAAGCGTACGATTAGCAAATGCTGAGATTTCTTATAGTATAGTCGATTGGTGGCCGTGGCTGCTGTTTCGATTTGTTTCGCTTTTCTGTTGCTCAGTTTTCGATGAGTGTTTGTTGGGTTTTTGTTTGTTGGTTTTATTTAGTGTTGGTGTGGCGGGATGTGTGCTGTGCTGGATGTTGGGTGAATTAATCGTTTGGATTATTTTCTCAAAAAAATACTGTCAACGCAATGTTAATGGATAATTCGTTTATAGCTTGTAGCTTCCTGGGTTTGCCGTTGGATTTATTTGATTTTTGGGGCGTTTCTTATGTATTTATTCTTTTTTTTTGTTTTTTTTGGTTGCTGGCGGCATTTTGAATGAGGCGACGTGGTGATTGATGCTGTTGCTGTTTGTTGGTTTGTTGTAGCGATGTAGCTCGATAGTTATAGTAGTTATACGTATGTATATACAATATATATAATAGTCATATATAGATAGAGAAGTGGTGTTCATTTTTACGAGTATGTAGGGTGTAGTATAGGAAGTTGTGCGCAACTTTTCTGATAGTTTCAATGCTGTTGATGTTGATTGCTTTGTTTCTTAGGTCACACTCACCGTAGCACCAACAGGAGGCAGTCTTATAGTTGCCCAGTGGCAATGCTTGCTGCTGGGATGTGGCTGCTGCTGTGGCAGCGACTGATGCTGAGGCTAAGGCTGAGGCTGAGGTTGATGTGGCCCCCGTCGTGTCGGGGGGCGTATTGGCACCTGGCGTGGCATTCGGCGAACCATTCTCACTCAGCGGCGACTGTTGCAGCTCCATCTGATGGTGTTGAATATTGTATTGGGGATTAGCTTGGCTTTGCTGTTGCAGCTTCTTATAGTAGCTATGAACGGCTGATGAATATGCTGCTGTGATATTGCTATTGCTGATGCTGATGCCGCTGGTGCTGCTGCTGCCGCTGGAGTAGGAGTTGGAGTTGGAGTTGGAGCTGGAGCTGCCACCACCACCGCCACCGCTGGCCAGCGAATGTGTGGATGAGGGCGACGACGTGTTTGTGGAATGTCGTGGCTGATAGTTACTAGCTAATTGCTGCATATGTGTGGGCGTTAATTGCTGATATTGGTATATGAAATGTTCTTGTTCTTGTTGTTGCTGTTGCTGTTGCTGTAGTCGTTGTTGCATCTGGAGTTCTTGCCTCTGATGTTCTTGTTCTTGCGATATAGATTCAATGGCAAACTGCTGTATCAGCTGCTCGGTGGCCATGTCCATGGCCGTCCTAATGGTCGTAATACTATCCATTGTGGGGATTATGTGGCTATGGGGATATCACCTCCCTTTGTGCTGCTGGAAATGTTCTGCCGTTCCCGTTCAGTCTTCAGATTGCCTTCGACGGAATTGATTCGTTCTCTCTCTTTGTTTTTTTTTTTATTTATTTAATGATTTATCTTAGTTTTTTTTTTTAATGTTTTTTATCTATTTTGTGTGTGCAGTTGTGCACTTGTTGTATTGGACAAATGGTTTTTGTTTATGTTTTTTTTTTGCTTCGGTTGCTCTGTTTTGTTTTCAATTAACTCTACGCGATATTTCCAATTACAAAACTTGTTCAATAAACGAAAAGAAAAAGAAATGGAAAATTGGTTTAAATTAAGGCATTCTTTCAAAGAATAGTTTTTGGTCACACAAAAACATACACCACACACACACAAAAATACACACACGCATTGATGAAAGCAGAGTGCCAGAAGTAGAGAGAGCGAGCTGGAGATAAGGGAAAATATCTTCTCTTTCTCTCACTCTCTCTGTCTGTCTGTCTCTATGGATATTTCTATTATATTTGAGTTATTAGACGATTCGAGTGGTGTGGTGTGGCTCTTTGTGCTGTTTGTTGCTTTACTTTTTTTTTTGGGATAATGCTCTTCATGATAATGCGGTGTTTGTAAGTTTTTACATACATATATAGAGAGCGAAAGAGAGAGAGAGAGAGAGAGAGATCGGGCTGAAAGAGTGGTGACATCTGCAGTGGTTTTAGTAGTTTTCCTTATGATTGGATTGATTCGTTGAGCTCGATTTTTGATTAGAGGTGGTGTTTGGTTGTGGCATGACGATTATTTTAGTTCTGTTCTGTTGGTGCGTGGCATTTGGCTTGTTCATTTGGTTGTTTTCTTGATGGTTTCGGTTAGGTATACAAATATATATTTTTGTAGGCGACAACGATAATAACAACAACAACAACAATTACGAGTACGATGCGAGATAGTATTTTTATATAGTATACGATGGATGCGCACGTAAGAGTGTGTGAGAGAGAGAAATAGCGAGAGAGATATGTGATAAGAGATAGATATGTTGATTGATCTATTTGCTAGGAAAGCGGCGGCAGCAGCAGCAGTAGGTTTTCAGCAAAGGTATTTGATTGTAGTTGATTGAAGTGCTTAAACGATCGGTTGGTTGATTGATTGTTTGATTGGTTGATTGGTCGCTTGGTTGACTGATTGATTGAACAAACGTCAAACTTGATTGCCATTGGAATGATTATATCTGCTGCCTAACAGCGCTCTGGCTGTTTTGGGATGATAATGACAACTATCGACTCAGATATCCATCAAATTTGGACAATATTATATGTAAATACATGTTCGTATGACGATTTCGATTCAGTTCTAGGTAGAAATATGCATGGTGCTATGGCAAGACAAATAGGGTATGTCCATGTACTATGGATTATTGTTAATGACGATAGAGTTACACAACATCCAAATAAT